CTGACTGCAAATTCTGCTTTCCTATTAATGCTAAGAAATTGGAGAATATTTCAAAACTTTCTAGATGTACATAAAACTGTATGTGTAATTGTTCACTACAAATTACAACAAGAAGTACATATATGGAAAAGGAAACGATATAGAACCACACTTAAGTCTGTATGTGTTTCTTTCCACGTATTATTGTAAACGAAATGCAGGGCGCATTTATGATATAAAATTATATAAAATTTCGGCACTGCTCATTTAATTGCTCGTATTTGGTCCTATAGAAATTAGTGATAATCGGTATGCATTTAATTATAGATCCCATAAATATATTTCCGGTTCTATGATATAATCAACATCATATTGTACACATACAACGAAAGTCATTAGATTGGTATATAATCGGTATATATCACTGTACGTTAAAATAAGATTCGTAGGAGCATCGCTTGTATATACCGAAAGTGGTTTAGGGCATTGTAAAGTTGGCTCCTGCTGAATTCGGAATATTGCTGGTTTTAAAATAGCTCGTTGTTGTTTTTAAGTGCAATTAATCTTTGAAAGCATCCATTTCGCCCTTATATTCCATCTACAAACAAACAATGTACATATGTATTTTGAAAAAAGAAAGGCAAGTTTTTTATACAAAAGTATAATTGTCTTTGTGCCTTCTACATTTGCCTTCTACATTTGCTACATTAATGCCAAGACATTGTCAAACATTTCTCAAAAACGCAAGATGTTTTTCATTATGTAACGTTCCGTTAGGAAAGCCTTTTAGAAGTATGAATACAATTTTCTTTTGCTACAGTTCTTTTAATATTTCGGGGAATATAAAGAAAAAAATTATTATTTCATCCCTTATTCTGCGAAACAAATGCCTTTGCTTTTAAATCACTAAAGATTTGTTCATTCTTTAGATGTTGTGTCCCTTTGATTGTCTAGGAAACAAACGGCTGGCCATATTCTTAAAGTTATGAATGCCTCATACAAACATAATGTTGATATTTAATCGAAATGAAGGGATCGCTAAACCTCATGGTGGAAATCGCAATATTTAAGATAGAGATAGATGAAATTTGCACTATATGTCCATGTTTTGAAATGTCTAGTCACATTTTCGGTATTTTGAAGGTTTTGGCTTCATTTCTTTTAAAGTGAATGCAATTTGGCATTCCGGATTTTTGGGGGCTGACATCTATTCATAAAATCATAAATATGTTTTGGCATCTTAAAGTATTAACCAATTTCCAAACAGAAAAGCTACAATATGACATTCCGCAATTTCTGAGGGTGATAAATATATATGTAGATATAGGTCGATGTTTTGACATAGCCTTATACCCAGGAATATTGGAGGCATTCAGGGATATTAAGTTCTATATTATATATGTATATTTTAATCTGCAACATCTTAGTCCCCATATAACGGTGCCGGCCGATGACCCATGTTACTTTACAATATGATTATCAAAAGTTTAAATTTAAATTAAGAGGTTCCTTAGCTACGAAAAATTACATTGTTCTACTTTTATCGGCATATTTTACGATGTAGCAAAGGATATAATTTCTTGTCCATTATATTATTTTATACCTCTCAATATTTCGAACATACCAATTACCTGTACATGAAAATTAAACCTTCAATATTACCAAATGACATCCTTTTCATTAAATCTTGACAAATTTATTAATTTATTCACCCACTACCATTTCAGATATTCACTTACCCATTGATTAATTAAAACGTCGGATCATTTAATGTGGCCTGCAAATGACGTCCATTAACATGTTGTGTTAAGCAAACAACGATAAGTTTATTTATCCTTTTAATAGGTGTCATTGAATGTGAGCAAGTTGTAGACACAAATGTGTTGCAGTTTAAGCGTGACAACCAATTTCCAGATGATATTACAACATAACCCCATACAAACCCTAAGTTGAAATCTGTAGGAGGATCCCAAAAAGGACAACATTGTCTTTTCTTGTCTGGTGTAATTATGTTCTGGACTAGATAACAAGGAAATCCCATTAAATTTTCAAAGAAAATTATTCAAGAAAAACTAATGGAATTTTACAGAATAGGAATGAAATATAGGTAAATTCAGTGAGAAGAGTATAAAAGAAAGGAGAGGCCAACACTACTATGGGTAAATACAAGATAAAGATATGCTTCTTTAAACAAATTGTTGTATCGGTACCAGGGATGGCTCGTGTAACCAATTTTTAGGTTTACGACTGTCAAAATGGTGTAAACGTCGATCATGTCATATACCTGTATAAAATGTAATAAATGTAGTAAACGTCATTTACTTCAATATTATAGCCATATACAGTAATTTTCAAAAATATGTATTATTTTTACATATATCTGACTACTCCTTAGTAGAACTGATAACAAATTCTAAACTTTTTGGAGAAGAAAATTTTGAAATTTAATATACACTTGAGTAAAGCATACGTAATTTCCAAATTGTTTAATGGAAATAGCTACTTTGTCAAAACCTAATGGTTTTTGGTGTGTTTCCGACATTTCTGACGTATATATTATACGTCGGATTTGTATGTCATTTGCGTCACTGTTTCTGACGGACCATCTCTCATCGATACTACTTTCTAGATCAGGCAATCGTAAAATCTTTGGTGGACCATTGACATGTTATATATATCTTCATATGCACTAACTTCAATCAAACTTTACTCATGTCGTTCGGTAATCTATGAAAAAAGTCATGTCAATGGGGACCTTAGGAACTTAAATACATCATTTTGTGAAAATGGACCAAACAATATATGACTACTGGCAGCTAAATATGAACCTTTGTAAAACTAATTTGTAAAAAAAATCGTAAGCTTATACTTGTATATATATTTGGGTGAATAATTTACAAGAACCGTTTTCAACAAACCTTACTATAAGTCATTCTAGGCTCAACTTGGTATGCAAAATTTCAAATCTATAGCTTAGACCTTTCGCACATACATTACCACAACTCCTATGATGTTTGGAATTGAGAATGGGGTATATCACTCCAAGTGTACATATAACGTATCCCATTTTTATATCCTTCACCACACTGTGGTATTATGTCTTTTTGCATATGTTTGTAACAGGCCAAAGGAATCGAGATAGACCCATGGTTCCTTTCGAGAATATGCATAGAATCACTTTCTGAGTCGATTTATGCGTGTCCGCCCGTGTCTGTCTGTTCATGTTAACTTGTAAACAAAGTACAGGTCGCATTTATGATCCGAATTGAAATTTGACACAGGTCACTTATTCGGTCCAATGACGAAACCTATTGAAATTGGGAAAAATCGGTTCAGATTTAGATATAGCTCCCATATATAATTTCGTCCGATTTTTAGAAAATGGTGCACCAAAGGGACAAAATTAGGCCGATTGGCACGAAATTTTGCACAACGGACTGAAGTTAGGACCATTTAACGTGTGCCAAGTTTTATGAAAATCGGTTCAGATTTAGATATAGGTCCCAGGTCAAATTGAGGCCGAATGAAATATTGCACAACGTACTGAAGTTGGGACAGTCTAACGTATGGCACATTTTATTGAAATCTGTTCAGATTTAGATATAGCTCCCATATATATTTTTGTCCGATTTTTAGGAAATGGTGCACCAACGTGTCAAATTTAGGCCGATTGACACGAAATATTGCACAGCTGACTGAAATTGGGATAGCGTAAGGTGTGCCAAGTTTCATTGAAATCGGTTCAGATTTAGATATAGCTCCCATATATATTTTCGTCCGATTTTCAGCAAATAGTGCACCAAATAGTCAAATTGAGGCCGAATGACACGAAATTTTGTACAACGTACTGAAGATAGGACCATTTAACGTGTGTCAATTTTTATTGAAATCGGTGCAGATTTAGATATAGGCCCCCTATATATTTTCGTACGATTTCTTGTGAATTGTGCACCAAGGAGTCAAATTTAGGCCGAATGAGACGAAATTTTTCACAACATACTGAAGTTAGGATAGCCTAACGTGTGCCAAGTTTTATTGAAATCGGTTCAAAGTTTGATATAGCTTCCATGCGTAACATATCGAAATGGATCTACAGTAACGCCTGATAAGTAAGTTTAGATGAAATCGGTTCAGATTTGGATATATCTCCCAATATATTTTTGTCCGATTTTACGTGAATCGTGCACCAAACTCTTCATGCTTTTTCGATTGACATTAAATTTTACACTACGTTCTTAAGATAGTATAACCTAAGGTATTAAATTGAGCTTCGAATATTACGTTTCGTAGAAATTGGTTCAGAGGCAAATATTGTTCCTATATATATTTTCGACTGACTTCATGGTAATTGTCCTCAAAATAATGAACTAGTGTCCACTTGAGCCTCTGTGTTGTAGTATAATTGATAGTTTGATTTAAATCACTTTACATAATGTTGTCCCTTTTGTGCTGATCGAGAATATATATGCTTTATAGAGTCGGAAATGATTATTTCGATGAGTTATAAACGGAAACACAAAGTTAATATACCCTCCATACTATGGTGGAGGGTATAAAAAGGTACAAATGTACCCGGTTATTGATCGCAGTAATCCTACGATCGATAACATCTAAACACATTTAATTTAGTCCAATGGTTATTCAAAAAAATGCGAAGTCTGTTAGGATACATCTCTTGAATATATCCAAAATGGTAAAGGGAATCATATAGTCGGCTCCGTCCGACTTTACTGCTTTCCTTACTGGTTTTAACATAGCCTTATACCCAAATTTATATTCCGGGATCTTGGCTGCAAGTTTTTAAACCAAATATTCGTATCACCTTTTGGTTTACTATTACATCATTTAATTTTTAAATTAATTGGTCGATTGCTGTTTTGATTTGGACTTATACGTCTAGATCCATGATTCGTCGTGTATTAATTAATATGCCAATCGAAATAAATGCAAAAACTGAAATTTTAAAATTGACTAAATAATTTATTTACATATACACATTGTTATATAATTCTAAATTTTCCTTAAGTAAATGTTGACTTCTTAGGCAACATAAATGACAGGGCAGCAGCAACTATAATAGAAATAGTAAGTGAATTAAAATTTAATTTTCTTTAATAAATTAGTCCAACTTACATATCAATACTGATCCTACCATGGCAAATGGCGGTATACAACCAATTTCCACCAATACGGGAAACATTAAATTTCCCGATAAGGCACCCAAACGGCCAAACATCATAGACAAAGCAACAATCATTGTTCTATCCGAGAAAGAAAACCAACATATCAACATTGAAATATACATGTCCAACAGCTAAACCCACATTCCCATTAACCAACTTACCTCAATGTAGTTGGAAATAAGCCAACAACCATTCCTAGTAGAGAAGATGTTGATATTCCACACAGTGTTATAAACAGTGAGGATATGATTAATATAGTCAAACCACTACTGGACCAATAGAGACTTAAACCCAATGCTCCAGATATCAGCAGACCAAATGCTACACAATTAAGAAGAAGAGACGTTTTAGGAACATGTTTTGTGTTGGATATTTAACCCCTGCCTCACTTACTCAGCAAACGTTTGGTACCCCCGGCACGTACAATCATTCCAGCAAAACAGTAACCCACAATTCCCGAAATAGAAACAATCATGTTGTTCATGTACATATCAACCGATACATTTTGATGCTGGAAGAAATTAAGACGATTTTCAAATGTTAACACAAAATTTAAACTAATCACTTAAGATGATTTTAAACAGTACACGGACAAATATTTCATAGATTAAAGTTCATTGTAATGTTTTACTACATTAAAGCGATCTGCTAAAAATTATCAGCATACTTTAAAATAGAATTGAAATATGCGTGGCTGACCAACACCCAAACAAAACGGTTAAAATTACAATGTTGCATAAGATTTAAAAATGGAAAACTTAGTACACAGCTTCATCTAGGATGATTAATTTAGCCGTTTGCGCTAAAAGGTTACAAAAACAGTATATTCTTGATAAAGATAATATTTTACGTCGATATAGTTGTAATCACGATCTAAGATGGACTATTTTGGGTACTTTATTCAGCGGAATTGGCTGTAGTTTGGTGTTCTGGGCTCTCATGGATTAACAAATATTTCTCGATATTGTGAGGATTTTTGGTTCTCAAATCTTTCTTACTAAAAATCTCCAATATCTTTCACGATCGGGTATTTGGAAGAATGCAGATCCAAGGTATATCCCATATGGACGATATTAGATATAACGGGCCTCATTGAGCCTAAAATGACATGTGTTATACTTGGTAGAAATCCGCTCAGATTTCAATGTAGCTCCCATATATATTTTGGGCCGAATTTATTACATGAATTTAATAGACCAAAAATTTTATCACTGATTATGGATACCTGTATTATGTTTTTATGCCATTCACCACAGTATGAACGGTATATAAATTTGTTTCATTCCACATGTAACTCATCAAAATACTCATTTCCGACATACAAGTATATTCCTGAACAGGGTAAATTTTTAAGACGATCTAACAACGTCCGTCGGTCTTTCCTCTAGGTCGTTAAATTTGTTTCTATAAAACCAGTAAGGAAAGTAGGATAGTCGGACGGGGCCAACACTATGCATCAGATGCATCCTAACAGATGTCACATTTTTGTAGGACCCTTAACATGAAATTGGATGAACTAATATATGTGATCTTTATATAAAAGTGAAACGACTTAGATCAATCTATAAAAATGTCATTCCTTTGTTACAATGGGACAAAATTATGAAAAAAGACTTAAAGCAAATATCAATCGTATAGCCGTTGAATATTTGGAGCCCAATTAACATGGAGTCTGTCATTCTATGCTCAATTTTGTACCCTATGCAAAATTAACGTCAATCTAACAAACATGAGGAATTTGGGGCACCATTTACATAAAATCGGACGAATATATGGAAGCTATATCCAAATATCAATGATTTCAACGAATCTTGACACAGGTTAGGTTATATTAATTCCAGTAAGTTTTGTTCCTATCGGCCATATTTTGAGTTCTTGGTGCATAATTTATTAAAAATCGGACGAAAATATATATGGGAGCTATATCCAAACCTGAACTGAATCAACAAAACTCGACACACATTAGACAATACTAACTTCAATACATTGTGCAAAATTTTGTGGAAATCGGCCTAACTTTGGGTCTTCCGTGGACCTATTACTTAAAATCAAACGAAGCTATATAGGAGCTATATCCAAATCTGAACCACAAAACTTATCACACTTTACACTACACTAATTTCAGTACGCTGTGCAAAACTTTGTATCAATCGGACAGATATTGGGAGTTTGGTGCACCATTTACATAAAATCGAACGAAACTATATATAGGAGATATATCTAAATCTGAACAGACTCCAACAAAGTACCTAATTCAGTACTATGTTCAAAATTTTGTCTCAATCGGACCATAATTGGAAATTTGGTGCACAATTTACATAATATCGGACGAATCTGTATATGGGAGCTATATCTAAATCTGAACTGATTTCAGCAAAACTTCACAGACACAAAATGTTGTCTCAATTGGACAAATATCGAGAGATGATTGCACCATTTAGTTAAAATCGGATAAAAGTATATATGGGAGCTATATCTAAATCTTAACCGATTTGCTCCAATTTCGATATGGTTCGTCCTTGGGATGTACCAAATTTCATCCAAATTGGATTATAAATGCGACCTGTACTTTGTTTACAATTTAACATGAACAGACGGTCGGACGGACATGCATAAAACGACTCAGAAAGTGATTCTATACACATTCTCAAAAGGAACTATGGACCTATTTCCTTTCCTTTTGTATGTTACAAACGTGTGTTCCAACCGATTTCACTCTAATTATACCCTTCACCACACTGTGGTACAGGGTATTATGTCTTTGTGCATATGTTTGTAACAGACAAAAATGATCAATATCAGTTTACGGTTTGGTATTTTCAGTATTTCTGAAGACTTTATACCCATTTGGCTGTAATTTGTATAAAGGGTTCTGAATTTATTATCCGATTTGGATTAAAAAGCTCATTTATTTGGCCAAAGGACGAACCCTATTGGTGAAAATCGGTTGAGATTTAGATATAGCTCCCATATATAGTTTCGCCCGATTTTAGGTTGTGTACCAAAGTCCCTTGGTTGTGTACCAAAGTCCCTGAAAATCATTCGATTTATACAAATTTTGGCATATCGTACTGAATTAAGTCTAGAATGACGTGTGCTAAGTTTCGTAAAAATCGGTTCAGATTGAGATATAGTTTCCATATATAGTTTCGCCCGATTTTAAGTAAATGGCGAAGAAATTTTGAAATTGTATAAATACGCTTATATCTGAAACGTAGGAATTACTATGTAACAGGCGTAAGTGTTTGTAACACTTCGAAATATTGATCCCAGACCCCTTCGAGATGAGATTCCATGTCTTCTGATTTACTTACCTCAGTACAATCTTTTTCATAACTGGTGACAATTGTTGCTGTTTTATTTACGCTGTAGTCTAAAATGGAACACAAATTAGAGGATTCTTTACTATTGGCATGTTCTTGCTCGTATTCTGATATCGAAGCGAATAATTGTGGCAGCCACAGGCGTATTGTGTTATATCTAAAAGTAATTATAATAATTATTTCATTAAAAAATCCAAAATGTACATTTACCCCATTAATATTGAAATCTGCATTAGATAAACATGCAGAGAACGTGTCAGCAGCGGCTTTCTAAACATGGGCTTCGTTTGTTCCCAGCCATCGCGCAAACTCTGAGACATAGAACGATGAATTCGCTTAGGATTTACGTCTGAGGATTTTTCAATTGTGAAAACAGCTTCATTTGTGACAACATCACGTGTTGGAACTTCTTCGATCAGGGTTTTAATCTATTAATTTAAAAAATCGATTTAAGAAAGAATTATCTGAGAAATTTCATTGTACTAACTGGAAAAGTATTTTTAGCTTTTCGTGTATTTAGGGCATACATGATTTGAAATGATTTCATAGCCTCCGCATTATGACCTTGTGACATTAGAAATTTTGGACTTTCGGGTAGAAACAAAAGTATAACACCGCTTATGAAGCTCGGTAAGCCGCATATAAATAAAAATATCTGCCAGGTGTGAACTGAAAATAAGAAGAAATATTAATTATTTTAGTTAATTTTTTACCATTCCTTTTCATATCTTAACTCACCATTAAAGTCCTTTATCACAAACTCCCAATCTCTTGGTAAAATAAGCCAAGCAATCAAGGGCAGCATTAATGTTCCAAATGAAGTAACAATTCCCAAAAGTAGTAATACCCTAGGTCGATGATGAGCGGCATGCAATTCTGTTAAATACGTAACCAATACGGCACTGGGTCCATTGACTCTAAAAATAAAATAATTTAAAAGGAAAATCAATTACATTAAATTTATAATTTAAAAAATTAACTTACATCAATCCACCCAAAAACTTAAATGTCACCAACATTCCAAAATTCTGGCTCATCGAACTACACAATACACACACCGCATCAGCCAATAAGCCAAAGGCTAATATTTTCTGCCTTCCTCTGGTATCGGCCAAATAACCCCAAACAATAGCCGATGAAATCATACCAGCAAATGTGACAGCATTCAGTACACCCTTATTGAATAGTGTCAGCTTTAGATCACATTCAGCTATGGGCAGAATATAAGCCATAGTTGTTGTGGAAAATACAATGGATAATTTGGCTGGTATTGCTGCGAGAATTAACAACAAATTGAAACAACCAAATCCGGTGGCTTGCAGCGCCTTTTCAAAATCTGCTGGCTCATTGTCATCTGAAATGAAAAAAAAAACACTTTTGGTGAACAATAAGGCTTCCTCGAGGCATAGAAAATTAGCTTTGTCTTTGACTATGAAAATGATTAATTTATCACAGAAATTTATTTCAGAGACATATTCCATAAGAAAATCAGTAATTTCGGGAATTATAAGTCGGTTTTATGCAACTAGATCAGTAGTGACTGTTCATCAAAGAGGAACATCAGTTCGTACTAAACAACAAACTGCCAGAGAATTAAAAACCAGTAAGGAAAGTAGTAAAGTCGGACTGGGCCGACTATATGATACCATTCACCACTTTAGGCATATTCAACATATGTCGCCTTTTCGAAAGAGTATTGACATGAAATTGAACGAACTTAATTATGTGATCTTTATCTAAACCGACTAACATCAATCCCTACACATGTCATTATGCAACCTATGCAAAATTTTGTGAATCGATTATAAGCAATCTTGAAACACACTTTTCGGTATGCTACACAGTTTAAATGTAATCTCAATCAGACACCCATTGATTATTTGGTGTACAATTAACATGAATAAGTCAAAATTATATATGGAAGCTATGCTATATATATATATATATATATATATATATTCTAGCAGGACCCGTAGCGCTTCGCTGCCCCTGATTTTTTAATTTTTAATACAGAAATAATTTTTATACAGAAATGTGTGAAATATCAATGCGTTCTCTTGTCTTCCTATTGGTAACTAACGATATTTGTATAGAAGTTATTGAATTTTTCGCTGTTTTCTATATTGGTGGTAATTCTTGTTTCCTTTGAAACTAAGAAAAATATGTTTCTCATATACTGAACAAATTCAAAATTGATATCTTTTATAAATTTTACACAAATTTTATTTTGTTAAAAGTATGTACGTATGTATGTGCATGAAAATGAAGAGAAGACGGTTAGTATAATTAATGAACTGGTCGTTATTGTCAGTACAGATAAGTGCACTTAATAGGGTAAATAACTATTTTGCACATATTTATATCCCACTATCCGACTTATAACGTGTTTTTCAGATGAAAATAAATCGTTTTATAATTAAAATCAAGGATTATAAAGGGCGTAAGTGACATTCAATCCATTTTTTATTTATTTTTTTTTTTTTAATAAATTGTTAGAGTATGTTAGGGTCTTCACTTCAAATACTATTTTCAATGAACTTATTTTCAATTAGTCCCAAACGTGCCATTTTTTATATATGACCAACTCTAATATTCGATATTAGGCATTTACATTTTTTCTATAAGAATAATACTGTTTTGGTATTTTTTTCCTATATCTATATATATAAAAATGAATTTCTGTTTGTTTGTTTGTTTGTTTGTTTGAACGGTGTTCCCTATAGACTCCTAAACTACTGAACGGATTTTCATGAAATTTTCACAGTCGATTTTTGAGTACATTTGTGGTAACATAGGGTACTTAATTTTTTGATGGGGGCAGGGGAAACAGTAGCCCCCATACAAATTGCCCCCTTTTTAGATCAGAATTGGCCATTATAGCAAAGAATTGGAATTGGTAATTATGGCAAAGTGTTAGTAAATATACAAACCACAGATGTTTACTAAGTTCACAAACCACAATTATGTAGGTGTTGCCAAGTCACAATTTGTTTTTATGACAATGATAAAGATGGAAATATCTGAATCAAAAAAGTGATACTAATGACAGAGTTCGTACAATTCGAGTACGCAGAGATTTCAATAATGTGGACTCTATACACAAAATAGTACTGTACACATTACTGATGACAGAATTCGTAAAATTTGAGCACGAAGCGATTTAAATAATTTAGATTATATACACAAATTAGTACTGTACACATATTTGCCCTCTTTATACCCCTCACCAAACTGTGTTTCAGGGTACTATGACTTTGTGCATATGTTTGTAACAGGCAAAAGAAATCGAGATAGACCCATGGTTCCTTTTGAGAATAAGCATAGAATAACTTTCTGAGTCGATTTATGCATGAAATGGTCCCTATATATCTTTCGATTTGCACGAAATTTTTTGGTATAGCCTACTAAATTAGGTCAAGAATAATGTGTGCTAAGTTTCGTGAAAATCGGTTCAGATTTAGATATAGCTCCCATATATAGTTTCGCCCGATTTTAGGTAATTGGTACACCAAAGTCGCTATATATCATTCGATTTGCACGAATTTTGGCATAGCGTACTGAATTAAGTCAAGAATGATTGTGCTAAGTTTCATGAAAATAGGTTCAGATTTAGATATAGCTCCCACATATATATATATTTGTGTCCGATTTAATGTAAATAGTCCCTATATATCTTTCGATTTGCACGAAATTTGGTATAGAATACTGAATTAGGTCAAGAATAATGTATACTATGTTTCGTGAAAATCGGTTCAGATTTAGATATAGCTCCCATATGTAAATGGTGCACCGAAGCCTCTATATTTGGCACACCAAAATCGCTATATATGATTCCATTTGCATGAATTTTGGCATAGCGTAGTTGATGTGTGCTAAGTTTCGTGAAAAACGATTCAGATTTAGATAGATTTTGGCATAGCGTACTGAATTAGAATGATTGCGCAAAGTTTCATAAAAATCGGTTCAGATTTAGATATAGCTCCCATATATATTTTTGTCCGATTTAATGTAAATGGTCTCTATATATCTTTCGATTTGCACGAAATTAGGTACAGCCTACTAAATTAGGTCAAGAATGATGTATGCTAAGTTTCGTGAAAATCGGTTCAGATTTAGATATAGCTCCCATATATATTTTGTCCGATATATTTTATGTAAATGGTGCCCCTGAAAATCATTCGATTTGCACGAATTTTGGCATAGGGTACTGAATTATGTCTGGAATAGTCTAGCAAAGTTTCGTGAAAATCTGTTCAGATTTAGATGTAGCTTCCATATATATGTTCGTCCGATATAAATTAATCTCTGGTAACTTTCCTTGAATTCGGTTCATGGTAAATTTACACCATGTAATCAATGGATGTCTGATTGAGATTATATTTTAAACCGAGCAATATACCAAATAGCGTGTGTCAAGTTTGCTTTAAATCGATTTACAAAATTAAAACACGTAATGAACGTGTAAAGTTAATACTGGCAAATGCTCTGTTAATGTCACTGATCTTATATGGACTTGGAGTGTATTCGTGATCCATTGATTTGCATGTTCATAAGTTAAAGCGAATTATTAATACCATAACACGCTTTATTTATAATCTACGTAGTGACAATCACGTGTCGGAATATGTTACTCGCTTTCTTGGATGTTCTTTTGAAAAAAATTATTCAGTATATATATTACGGTGGACACTTAAGGATGTTATTTTCTTTCACACACTCTCTAGAAACCTCAATATTTTGATACCTCGAATTTTGAATATTTGTGCGATGTTGGAATGCACTGCCACTTGAGTTACGGGTTTTCTCACAGAAATAATGCTATACGTTTATAAATTCTAAGTCAGTTACACATTTCATAGTAAAAATTACCATATTATGGATTTACTTTTTTGGCCTTTGGAAGGGGCAGCGAAGTGCCACGGGTCCAGCTAGTATATATATAAAATAGAAAAAAATTTGTTTGTTTGTTTGTTTGTATGTTACCGATAGACGCCAAAACCGCTGAACAGATCTTAATGAGATTTACACTGTATGTCGGGACATGCCCTGAAAGTAACATAGGTTATATAAACTTTTAAAATTCAGATTTTCACCACACGTCTTTCCGTTCGAGGAAAATAACGTAGGCTATATAAATTTCTAAAATTCCGCGCGGATTTCAAGTTATGGGATCAAAAGTAATAATACCCCTGAACTAATATTCATTTTCTATGCTTCTATCTTAAGATGGGTTACAGATTTACACTTCAAAATTTGTCTGAGTAGCTTGGTTACAAATACGCATCATCCCTATAAAAACAGGAGTGGTACATTGGGGATAATGTACTCCCAACTATTTTGGTTGTAGACACAAAAATCGCTTAATAGATTTTACTGAAATTTTCGCAGTAAGTCAGTCCATCCAATGGAAGAAAGATAGACTTGGTATACTTCCAAAATTCCGAATTGATGCGTAGTTATCTTAGCTATGAATTAATATTTCTTAGCTAAGAACTAATACTACATTTCAATGAATATATCCTAACTTTAAGAAGGCATATACATATATTCGTTTATAAATGTGTATATGATACTCAGGTAATTACGTACCCAGTCATAAAAGATCTGGAATTAAAAAAAATTGGTCCAAATCAAGATTAATAGACTCATAATTTTTTGTCCAACTACGTATCATTATCAGTAGCGGCAATAACCACACTTCAGTAATGCCGCTAACGTCTGCCGTTTTCCATCTCTCCATTGTCGTGCTAATACATACAGATATTGGAATAAAAATTGTGTAAAATGAAAAATATTGTCATTTTAGTTTTTACATTTTGTCAGTTTTAGAAAAAAAAAAACATTTCAATTTTGAGACTTTTTGAATTTCAACAATTCTACTACTATTCTAGAAAATGACTATAAGTTCAATAACAGTATGCATCAGCAATATATGAGAGATATCTAAAAGCGAAATGCGGATTGTGGTAATGTTATAATAATCTGTGGTAGGGTATCATCATAGCTGAGCTTAAAATAAAATGTGTTCATTACTTGAAAAATAAAGTTTTGTTGACCAAACGAACATGACTAAAACTATACATTCGAGAATGTGCAGAGGAAATGACGAACTAAAGCGAGGGTTTAAAAGATAAGATTTTATTTTAAAACTAAAGGTTAATTACATACAGGTTGTTTTCTTTCCAATTGTTCTTTATTTTATTTTTGTTAATAACTTCAGTGGGACTGTGAAGAGCCACAGCCTCTGAGGGATTCAAAAACGCCTCCTTCAAAATGAATTGCATTCCATTTTTTTAAATCATTAGGGAATACACATTACAAATGCAAAATTTAAACTTGGCAAAGATTATTACA